GTGGTCAACCAGCTTTTGTCAAAGGTAATATACAGTATTTTCTTGCTAGCTCAATCTCTCACTCCTCTCAGATGGATGGTATCGATCAACTGAACAATATACTCGTCATCGGCATGACAAATCGTATCGACATGATTGACGAGGCCTTACTGCGTCCCGGACGTCTCGAAGTACATATGGAAATTTCCCTACCGGATGAGCATGGACGGTTTCAGATCCTGCGCATTCACACTGCCAAAATGCGGACCAATAATGTGATGGACGCTGATGTTGACCTGGCTGAACTCGCTGCCATGATGAAGAACTATTCGGGTGCAGAGATTGAGGGCTTCGTGAAGAGTGCAACTAGTTTTGCCTTCAATCGCCATGTCAAGGTTGGCACCATGGCAGGTATTTCGGAGGACGTCGACAAGCTTAGAGTCAATCATGGTGATTTCCTCAAGGCACTTGAGGAAATAAAGCCAGCGTATGGTGTGTCGGAAGAGGAACTGACGGATGTTATTGTGAATGGGATCATTCATCATGACCCAATTGTTGAGGTATGATATGCGACTTCAGTATATGCTGTACTGATGTTTTCCAGGAAATCCTCGATAAAGGCAAGCTATTTGTCAACCAGGTTGCCAGGTCGACACGGACACCGCGTGTTAGTATCCTGCTCCACGGACCCCCTTCGTCAGGAAAAACTGTACTGGCTGCATCCATTGCTTGGGCTTCCCAATTCCCGTTCATCAAGCTCATTTCACCTGATCGCATGGTTGGATTCTCGGAAGCCCAGAAAATACAGTTCATTACCAGAACATTTACCGACAGCTATAAGAGTCCACTGAGTGTTATCGTCGTTGATAATCTTGAACGACTGCTAGGTGGGATCGCTCATAAGGCTGTATCCATTACACTAACTTTAACCGGCAGAGTGGACATCACTCGGCAGCAGGTTTTCGAATCCTGTTTTGCAGACGCTTCTTGTCCTTATTGCTCGCAAACCACCCAAAGTTCGCATTTTTGTCAGATATATGTGGAGTGTGTCTGATCCCATGTCCTCAGGACAAACGTCTACTTGTGATAGCAACAACCTCGCTGCGTCCCCTTCTTACAGAGCTTGGCCTGTCTGATGTGTTCGATTCTGAGTTGCGCGTACCTCCGATTTCCAACCTTTCGTCACTCGAACGAGTCCTACGCGAAGTGCAGCTCTTCTCTTCAGAAGACGAGCTCCGACAAACAATGCGCATGCTTGCAGATGCAGGGTTTGCTATTGATCTCAAGGCGGAGGAGGATGCGGCCTTGCATTTGCAAGTTGGCATCAAAAAGCTTTTGAGCATCATCGAGATGGCGAGGCAGGAACCCGAGAGGGCTGGAGAGAGACTCGTGAGCGCGATCATCAACCTGAGTTAGTAGATTCTGGTCGCATACCTGTAGGATCGATATCATTTGTAGAGTACATACAATCTGGACATCATAGGCATCACTTTTAGACGCTTGGCCAGGAAAGGTATTACATGCCCGATATGGTATGCTCCTCAAAGATGGGGGAAGTTCAACATGACTTCCAGCTGGCTCCGGCACATCCACGATCACCTACAGCCGTATCTTAACTACTAGTACTGACAGCGACGACAAAGAGTCACTATCATGACTTCCGTTGAGATTATCAAGGACCCAGCTCAACCAACTCGCTTGCCACGATCAGCCTCTAATCCCAAACCAAAGGGGATCCTCAAGAACGCAGTTCCACAACAACCAGGGTCACAATCGCAGTAAGCATCCGCGCAGATACTAATCGGTGTCCTTGTTAATCTCCTTGAGTGTATAGTAGCTTGCAATGGGACGAAGAGAATCTCGCGTTGACTGAGATCCAGAAAGACAGTCTTATGAAGATTACGGAACCCAAGACGCCATACGTACGGTATAACGCTGAAACAGATCAAATAGAGGGCGGTATGGTCCCTTTTATCCATCATTCATTACATGTGATCTAAAACTGTATATAACAGATATCCCATCGCTTGACCTAGGCGGGCGTGTGCCCTCTCCAATGGAATATTTGTCGTCCTCTCCACGATCGGTATCACCGACAGGCGCAGATACATCAAGGCGGTCTTCTCGCAGAACCTCTCTTAGCAGCGCGGGGCGCGCTTCATCTGGAAGGTCAGCTAGTACTGGATCTAGCAGGAGCACAAGCTTCAATCTCCCGAATGAGGCTAAAGCGGAGATAAGAGCTGTGCAAGGCAGCCCAGGCGAAGAAGTCGAGACAGATGAGGAGATGGATGAGGAATGTGCGTCGCTTTCATCATTTCTCAATGCGAGAGATAGATTTATTTGCTGGTACAGCTGCTGCTAAGCATGCAGCTTTCGTACGAGCCAGAGGACGGCACTATTCCAATGAAGCAGAGGCGATGAAGGTGAGTAGTTGTTGTCAAGTATTTGGATTATACTCAGTAGAAACTACACAGCGGGCGGCGAAGATGGCGGATGAAGAAGAAGAAGAAGGAACTGGCCCTGAGGACTCGGCCTCAGCACTTGCGGACGGTGCCGAGGATGTGGCAGTCAACGGCGTTCACGGTAAATGACGGGACGACATAGGACGACATATGCATATGCTCTGCGTGGTTTCTGGATGGAGTAGATGTGGACATGCTCACGAACTTTGAATTCTTCCACAGGTATATATTGTAATTTTTAGCAGAATATTATCAGTCTTGAGTCCATTCGGTTGTACCCTACTACTGACACTATTCTGTGGAGAAGAATATCAAGAATCGGTCCCATTGACACGGTCCTTCAATGATATTGAGCCGGCGATGGGCCTTGAGCTTGAGGTCTGTTTACATAAGGGCTGTGCCAGTGACCTTCCAAAATAATCATTTCGACCACGTGGTTCAATCAATGATCGACAAGATGATGATCGCAAAGTCGTCGCAAAGCAGGTAAATTTTAGACAGCTCGTTTTAACGGCGGAACAAAATCGATTACATCTACCCTCCACATCGTTAGAATGGCCCCAGATACTGCTGGAAAAGGTATTCTCCTCAAAGTCGACCCTATCGCGGAGACTTTCCGCGCTGAAGTTAAGGATGGACTTGCAGCCTTGCGGCATCGTACACCGACGCTTATCGGGATCTTGGCAACTAACGCGTCTCCGAGTAGGTTTTATGCTGACTTCACGAGGAAGCAATGTGAAGGGCTTGGAGTGAGATTTATTCTCAAGGAGGTGGGGAGTGCGGTGAAGCAGAATGAAGGAGAGGAAGCGAGGTCAGATGGGGACGGTGTAGAGGAGGTGATCATTGAGGCTAATGAGGATGATAACGTTGATGGTATTATGGTGAGTTCAACGGAGGTCTCGTGGAACACTTGTTGATTATTACAAAGGTGTATTATCCAATATTTGGAGGCCAGCAGGTGCGCACCGGGGAGCACGAATTAGCGAATCACTTTAAATTGATTAAATGATTTCGTAGGACCATTATCTGCAGCAGGTATTGTGGTTATATCATCATGATGTACCTGCGCGAATATCTAAGTGTGCTGGCCTAGATTGTCTCTCCACTGAAGGATGTGGAAGGTCTTCATTCGAAATTTCACTATAATCTGTACCACAAGTACGTTCATATTTCCCCTGACATTATCAGGCTATTATTAACTCGAAATAATCAGCATCCGTTTCATCACACCTGCCTCGCTTGCATCTACCATTCCGTCTTCAAAAGTCACCCAGCCAATAATAGACGATATCCCTCCACCCGGAACAGTCAAATCCATCATCCCTTGCACTCCCCTTGGCGTTGTCAAATGCCTTGAGTATATTGGAGTGTATAACAACATCCTTACATATGGCGATCGCGCTTACGGAAAGACTGTGACCGTAATCAATCGGTAAGGCTCCGGTGCAGTCAGTTTCTAAGGAATGTCGCCTAGAATATCGCACAGGTCAGAAGTTGTAGGACGCCCTCTCGCCGCACTCCTTGCGAATGACGGCGCGAGAGTGTTTTCCGCCGATATTGATTCTATCCAGGTAGCTCACCACCCATCTTTCTCTTCTTTCTACATCGCTTATTTGCTTCGAAGGAATATACAAAGCGGCCTCGTTTCTCAAACCCGACTTCTGCTCGACAGTACCTCCCACACCATACTTCGCATCTGTGCACGCTCTCGCTCGAAGAATGTCTTGCGATCTCAGACGTCGTTATCAGTGCTGTGCCCAGCGCATCATACAAGGTCAAGACAGAATGGTTAAAAGAAGGATGTATATGTGTCAACGTCGCAGCAGACAAGAATTTCGATAAGGATGTAAGAGATAAGGTGCGTTTCAGCAGATTCTCAGATTGTTCCCCATGAGCTGTCCGAACGGCCACTAACATGTTGTATGCAGGCATCTATATACATCCCAGCAGTCGGCAAAGTGACTATTTTGATGCTCCTTCGGAATTTGTGCGTCCGATCTTGTATTGTGTTTTATTTCCTTCGTCACACCATGGTTTCCCGCACTGGTGTCAACGTTCAGCCACCGCTGGTGTACTGTCACACACTTTCATTCTGTGTCCGTATCTTCTTATTCTTGATCCCCTCTCAAGGGGTTTTCTGTGTTCAATTTCACATCATAACGACTCATGTCTATGTTTTATCTTGCTGCGAGCTCTGTGCTTATTATGTTTAGGCTGCGTCTTTCACACTACAACGATGTGTCGGCCCCGAGTGGGAGCGACGACATCATACCCGCTCAATAAGTGGGATTCCTGGTGTAATCGTGTCGGTGCCGCAGGTGGAAAGGAAATAATTAGAGGATAAGATCTAACTCAGAAGCAGGAAGTCACGTAGAATCTAGCACAATGCATTACAATTGCCATTGCCCGGATATATACACCATTAGTTGAGATTATCACTGCAGCATGGGAATTTATGTATATGTTGTGCAGATTGCGTTCCTCCCCTGATGGCTAAAGAAAACCTCCTTACGTAAAGATATAATACTAGTGCTGAACAATGCGAAGGGGTGCACGATACTACCCGAAGTGAGCATCGGCTGGGTTTGTGGCATGTAGTGGATTCTGATCCATCCTCGGGAAGGAGGGCGTGACAGGCGTTGAGACGCCTGAGGCGTCGCCTGTAAGGAAACGAACGCGTTGTCTGTGAAGCTGGAGTAAAGTGGTCATGTTTGGATATTCATCAATTTGGACGCAAGGGGAATTGAGTGGGAAGTCAGGTGGTTGTGACGTGGACGACGTACCTGAGGGAGTTTTGGGATGATGGCAAGTACGATGAGAGCGGTGAGATTGATAGCGAATAGCCAAGGATTGTAATTCGTGTAGTGTGTCGAAGCCAGGAAACTGGCACGCATACCGTGAGTGAAGTACGGTGCATCACAAGCACAAGACGTACAGTAATATAGGTGCGGTGAATAACCACTTTTTAGATGGTGTATATTGCGCGCCGTCATCAATTTGCTCCCAGAGAGAGAGATCGTCATATGCGCCGCCGTGGAGCTCGTTGTCGAAGGGAATGCCGGTAACCCAGTGGAACATGAGATACGATAGCTGCGGAGATGCGTGGCATGTCAAATATAACGCAGAATAGACCGAAGGATGAACGGAGCGTACATTGAGGTATATAAGGTTAACGAGTGTCCAGCTGATTTGTTGCGTCATACCAGGTATAGTATCGATAATGATCTTTCCCATGAAGACCAAAACGACGTGTATGAGCCATGCACCTGAGCAGGTGGTTTAGTGGAATAATCACATTACTTGACTAGTGTTATGCACCCTTTGCATTCACCCAGTTAGCATTGATATTGAGGTACGCGCTACGGTCCAAAAGTTCCTCTGTACGCCCACCGACTTCTTCGACCTTGACGATGCTCCCGCTTCGCCGACGACCTTTGATATCAGCCGGAACGGATACCGTAAGATGTAGTAACTTTGGTGAAGGGCGTGACATTGATTGCGAGGATGGCGAAACGCTGATGCGTTGGTTGGGAACGAAGGAGGATGGCCGCAGTCTCGACCGAATATTAAATTCATGAGCGCTGACCAAATAGTAACATACAAACCGTAGCACCTCTGGGTCATCGGCGGCCAATTCGACAGTTCTGCATAGCTCTACAAGTACTTCTACAACCCTTGTGCACACAAAGGACCGTTCGAAAGCTTTACCGTATAAATAATGGATTATTAGGAAGTAAGCATTGCAATCTGGCGCTTAAGTATTCTGGACTTTTAACACCAAAAATTCAAGCTTGTCTCGATACAGAAAGGGCCGAATTCAGAGACTCCAGAGGAACAGCATGACATACCTGCCACTAGCATGTGTTCAATTAATGACATCGAGTCCCTTACCTCCCTCTACGTCCCCTGTCCTTCGGGAGAATAGCAATTGATAAATAACTGGGCCCAGGAAACTCAATATGAAGGATGTTCTCCCTCATGTATCTGGATTCCCTCTGTAAGCCTTCTTCGCTTCAGCCCAAGTTTCTACTCAGCGTGACTAGCACCTGAGAAGAAAGCAATCGCGCCTCTACATGTTGATGTCAGTTCGATCGCCTTTTTCAGTGCTCCTCGTATTGTCAAGATGTGATCTCCGACTTTGCTGCGGCGGATGCAAGAAAGTCGAGTGCTCCCTAGGCGGCTCAGCTTTTCACAGCCTGGCCTTGTGTAGTATTATATTCGAGGCTTGGATGCGCTCACTTCATCAGATATATTTCAGAGACTAAGAGCTTCCATGAGTCTGCTATTGCACATTCTACACTCACCCATCATATAAGCATTGTACTCGTTTCTAATGCAACAGCTATGTATACGTTTCTCTTCGGGCGAACTGCTGGACCTCAGTGATATAACTTATGCAGCGAACGCAGGACTGATACCAGGAAACCATGCCTGCAAGGGACGCGCACGGAAGTACTCTCCCAGATCACATATTGGGTGAACAGCACTGGAGACGAGGTTCCACGCGTACTGTGGCTATCTGGCCCTGCAGGCAAGGACAAAACAGCAATTGCTATAGAAGCTCTCAAAGGCAGAGTCTTATCGTGATTGTGATCGACGCACAATTGCCGGTATTAGAATTTGCGATGAGACGAGATCGAGAAGGCGTTTGCGACTTGGCTATGCAGAGTATGAAGCCTTTGATGATGAGGAGTATGGGGAGAATATTGGATAGTAACGGTGTTTCCAACTTCCAAGTGGGTGCTCTGAAACGACATCGCTGTATATTGTCATTGATTGCCAAACAAACTACTGGCACTGCGGGCAAAGTCAACAAAGTCAGGGCGTGACACGGGTAACGTTTACCCAGGTACCCGCCCAGGCAACACTTGCGGGTAGACGGTGGGTTGTGTTGGAGTCAGAAGAACATGGTCATAGTACGAGCAGCTTACTAGATGCTTCGTTTCTCCTGAAGTTGAATGGGCAGATCGATAGACAAGGTTAACGCGGATGTACGCGTTAAGTAGGGACAACGTGTGTGAATAACGACGTGCATATGAGTCCATTGATGAATTATCATAGCTGTACGTGAGTCCGAGGACGAAGATGTAACAAAAAGAGGCAAAATTAATTCGATCTTGCGCCAATATTCTAGAAAGGCTTGTGACTTCTAACGACCTTGAATTCTGTTGCTCCGCCAATACGAAAGCAATGTCCGGTGAGTTCCAACATGTCGGCTGATCTCCAAAGCTGATTACAATGTGCTAAGAACCACGTTTTGGTCATCGCGGCCCATCCGCTGTCTGCAGTTTCGTGTGCGAGGAAAGGTGCGTCAAGCGGGACAGTGGAATTGGCTGCGAGATGGTGATTGATGGCTGTGAATACGTTTGTGACGTCGTCGAGACTAGAGATGATGATGTCTGCCCCTTCTACATGTGAAGTTTTCGTCCAAGGGATGTGACGGAGTATTTCGCACCGTCTGAGGGTGAACGACAGGTAAAGGGGGTTGAGCGAGCGACATGACGAGAAGGGTCGAATGTGCTGGTACTGACTGAGTTAAGTTCGCCGAATCTTTGAATGCTGAGAGTATAGTCGAACTAACTTCACAGCGCACATACCTGCAACAAGACCAAAAAGCTGTGCATGCGACAGCAAAAACGAATGTATCGAATGCATTAGAGAGGTCAATACTACGGAACAGAGTATGCATGTGCTCTAATGTTACAGGAGGGCGATGAGGGTGTTTCGACGAGTCGGGAACGACCTTTCCAAAGCCAGCAGTGGCCGAACGAAGGATGCTGTGCCCTGCAGGTCAGGTCAATTCCTATGTCTCAACTGGTACCAACCTTCCATCTCTGCACGGTCGAGATGGAGGTTCAAATAGGAGTATGCATCGCAAATATATTCCTCATTCTCGCAACAGAGGACAGGAATCGGCATAAGCTCCCGAACATCATTTGCAGCCCTGTGGCCACGAGTTCGATTATCCTTTGAACAAGGGATTGGGAAGCAACCTGATGAAAAGTCGAATGTCGTTGAAACGTCTGGTCCAGCAACTACACATGAGACGTGCTTAAGACGAGACAGCGTATCATAAAACTCCAGAAAGAGAAGGCGAGCCCATGAGTAAGCATCTGCATGCTTTCCCTCAAACCAGAACGTCAGCCTTTTCAAGTTTGGTATGTCTTCTAGCATTTGGTGTAAATAGCATCCCCAGTCCCTGATTCCGGAACCCCCATACGCGCTGAGCCGCTGTATGGCTGTGAATGTCGACCCTACTATGGATATAACGAGTATTGCTGACCTGAGTAGCAAAACCTGTCAAGGTGATTTCCTCGACATGCTTCGGAATTGATGGACATGAGCATTGATGTCTCGGGGTCCAAGCCATGAGGTCCAATCCTAGGTTCCTGATACTAGTGGAGGGGCCGACAATCCTATTGAGCTCCCAAGAGCCCATGCATGCATGCTGGCCTTTGAAACGCACAGTGTGAACTGGGCGACCAGGTATAATGGCATTTAAGAAAAGAGGTACAGCAGAGACCTCTGTTAAATGCGGCAGAAATGTGGGAGGGAATGTTGGCCCCTCAATGCCAAAATAGACATCTGCCGCATACATGGCAGTGATAGCGAGATTACGGATGCTGCCCTGCCTGTTCAAGAAGCTCAGGATTTGGAGGTCGATAGTATAGGTGCAATGAAAGATATGGAGCTTGGCATCACAGTACCGAAGGACCGACGAGTAGCACTCTTGCGAATGGATAAGCTTGAGCGTAGAGAGGCAAGTCATATTTTTGAGAGCCAATGAGAGATTATCCAGGTGCACCTCAGGACCATTTTGGACCATTACGTAAATATGAAAGATTTGACTTTCTCTGCGAGATGGGGATGCCCTGCAAGCGTAGTGCAGACATCCGAGTTGTTGACTGTGATGGACGCATACAGAGAGTCAACCACTGCATGATGAAAGCAGGTGCACACTAGGCAGAGTGCGGCAAGATCATTTGAGGAAAATTTGAAGGTTTTGGTGAAAGAGAAAATGGTGAGCCACAACTCAACAGGTAAGTTGTTAGTCGCCATGATATGGAGTGGTTGCTCCGCACTCGAGGAATATAGAGGATTAATAATAACTGATGTCATACTCTACCCGGACTCCGACTCGGACTACCATACTCGGCAGAGACCAAGACTTGCATATTCATTTTATCTGTGCTCAGCTCGGTCTTTCACAGTCGTATGCGTTCGCTCCCTCTCCATGAGTTGACTCACCAGCCCAACCAAGCCCAACCCAACCTTTCCATTTTCCACAACGAAGAAATTTACAAATACATGAACTAATTCAAATCATAATTAATGTCATCATAGAGACAGGCGGCAGCCCATCAGGAACTCGGAGCTTACATGAGTGAACGGGAGATGATATCGGGGCACAAGACAGTTGCCAGACATGGGTGTGCAAGAGTGCAGGTCATGCACAAGGATGGCGGCAGGCACAACGTATGGAAGGGCTCGGCGCGTCACAGACCATGGGAGGTTCCTATCAGAAGGAAAGAAGGGATACATCCAGAATTGCCGGTATTAGAATTTGCCATGAGACTCTCCCATTACGGTGCGTATGGCACATACGAAATTCCTGATGAGTAGACTTCAATAATAACGTGTACCCTACCTGCATACTCTACATCCACATATGCATGGGCAGATGATGATTTTGTTAGTGTACGTGCTCACATTCACCGTATGGCCCACATCACTCCAGCAATCTTGACGCCTGATGCATTTAGCTTTGGTCATTTGTCATAAAGTAATCAACTTCGGTAAGTACTAGAACACCTTTTGCATCAACGAGATCTAATAACGTTTTAAGTGCAGAGCCAATTTAGTAAACAGATTGCCTAACGTTATTCGAAGTTTTGTTCTCGATATAAATTAACGATGCGAGCTCTGACTGGCTCGTAGGCTCCCCAATTGTTGCATGCTGACGATGAGACTCGCTCTGCTTAGTCTCCCCTTCGCGGCTGCCCTGGCTAGTGCGATGCCTTTCTGGGGTTACCAGCAAAAGGTGAAAGAGAGTATCCATGGTCCACCTAGTGGGTGGTATAAGCATGCTCCCGCACCAAAGCATCACATGCTTGAGCTCAAGATCGCTCTGCCTCAGCCCAAGTTTCCGGAACTCGAGCAACACCTCCGGGAAGTAAGCGACCCAAGCCACGCACGTTATGGGGCGCACTTGTCAAAGCAGGAGACCGAAGCACTCATGGCTCCCCACCCTGAGACTCTGGCCGTCGTCAGGAAATGGCTTGCCTTGCACGGTTTAGCGGAAGAAGATATCACCCAATCACCTGCAAACGATTGGGTTACTATCCGTGTCCCTGTTGGTCTCGCAGAGGTGATGATGACTACTGTAAGCAAGTGGATGTCATTTGCGAATATCTGCATTGATTGATAGATGCCTAGGATTATCATGTTTACAAGCATGCTCAGACTGGAGAGAGCATCATCCGGACAATGAGCTACAGCCTCCCTGAGATCTTGCACGATCACGTCGATCTCATTCAGCCCACTACTATGTTCGCTCGTTTCAAGGCGTTCAAGAGCACGCTGCACTGGACTAATCATGTGCAGCCTGCGGATTCGAGTCTATCTGGTTCAACGATCACAGGGCCTGCAGGCAACCAGGTTGATGCGAGGTGCAACAACACGATCACCGTTTCGTGCTTACGACAGTTATATAACGCGGTGGACTATAAAACGTCTGCCACTAACGACAATGCTCTTGGTATCACTGGTTATCTCAACGAGTCTGCCAATGACGTGGATCTTCAGCGATTCTACCAGCTTCAGAACCCATCTGCCTATGGCTCAAATTACACCTCCTTGTCCATTCATGGTATGTCGAGATCGAGTTACTGTCGGCGATGCCTTATTGTTGTGTGCTTCGTAGGTGGCAAGAATAACCAGAGCTATGAAGCAGCAGGTCTTGAGGCCAACCTTGACACTCAGTTCGGCTTTGGGCTTACTTGGCCCACGCTCGGAACGTTCTACGCCACCAGAGGGGAGCCTCCTTTTGACTCTGATTTGTTGACAGAGAGTGATACAAACGAGCCCTACTCATATGTGCGTTTAAGCGACTGCGGTTGGAATTTAATATTGACAACTCAGATATTCAGTGGCTTGAATATGTCCTTTCGCAGGTTAAAATTCCTCAATCAATCTCTACAAGTTATGGTGACGATGAGCAAAGCGTGCCGCAGTCTTACGCGACTCGTATTTGCAATGGCATGGCAGCACTCGGTGCTCGTGGTGTCTCAGTGATGTTCTCGTCTGGCGACGGGGGCGTGGGCGACGGCGTTGCCAATCCTGATGAGCCTCTCGGGCACCAGTGTTATTCCAATGATGATCTCAAAACCCCGAAGTTCTTGCCTGTGTTCCCTGCTTCATGCCCATAGTAAGTGACCTGTCTGAACGAGCACTGAGCTAAAATAATCAATTGCTACTTGAAGTGTGACTGCTGTTGGTGGAACTGTCAACATCCCCGAGACTGCAGCGTCCTTTTCTGGGGGTGGATTTAGTAACTATGTGCGTGGCCTCTGCCTTCCGTAACACCTCCTGACCAATAAAACTCCCTCACAGTTTCCTCGTCCTTCATACCAGGATGATGCTGTCTCGGCATATTTGGCAACGCTCGCTCCCGGCACCTACGAAGGTCTCTATAACTCGTAAGTCATCACAAACCGGCAAATGCATACATTCGATTAACTCCTCATCTTCAGGACTGGACGTGTAAGTTGGCCCTTCAACTTGTGGAGGTCTTGTGAAAAATATTACTTTAGGCATACCCCGACGTGTCATCACAAGCGGCAAGCTTCTCAGTGGTTTACCAAGGCCAGGTGACACTACTGGACGGTACATCCTGCGCTGCGCCTGCATTCACTGCATTCGTTTCCATGCTGAACGATGCACGTCTTTCTGCCGGAAAACCTGCTCTTGGATTCTTGAACCCTTTCTTATATTCCGTTGGATACACAGCATTGAATGATATCACCGAGGGCCGCAACCCAGGATGTCAAACTGAGGGCTTCAATGTAAGTTATATTCATGTTTCACGATCCTCAGCGACTGATGTGATGACTGTACGCAGGCCGCGGTTGGATGGGATCCTGGTGAGTTCATGAATACGCCGCACAAGGTTACATTGTATGCTGATAATCATTGCAGTCACTGGATACGGTACACCCAACTTTGAAAAGTTGAAGGATTTGGTCTTGGCCATGTAGAGGAATAGACGGGATTTAAGGTGTATATCTTTCCGCGATTCCTAACGAGCAAGAGGTACTGAGCAATTCGAGGCAACCAGGTGGCGCTGGAAACAAAGCAGGAGATCATTCGCAGGAAAGAGATAGTAGTTCACCTGCGCATTCTTTTCTTGAAGCGCTCCATGACCTGGGAGACATGAGTAAATGATTATGACAAATTGACTAGTTTTCATACCACTTCATCGGTCGCCATTTGTGGACGTTCACCGCGAGGTCTTCTGTCTTCTTGAGGTGGTAAACCCATTGCTTCGAGTTTGGCATCTCGCATAATTTCTGCGTCAGACTTCTGCTTGAGATGCGGCCGATAGACTAAGCAGTCCGTCAATAGTGAATTCACAACAGCAAGTTAGAGACAACGAACATCGAGTTGCGACGAGATGCTCCTCATCATTAGGTCGTTTGCGTTCTTTGCGGACTTCAGCAACTTGCCGTTTCGCTTTCTCGGTTTCTTCAATATTCTTCAATCGTGTGCTATCTCACAGAGTCAGCCAAATCAAATGGATTAGAATGGAGAAAACCCTACTCCATGCCGAGATCAACTTCGGGAATGGCGGTTAGCATAGCCATGCTGTTAGTGACATTGCCCTCATCAGCAGTTTTCTTTTCTCCTTTCCACCGCTCGGAAAGAGAAAATTCGTCCTGAGCATTTGCCCCAGGCTTGGACTCGGATGGGTCTGAGGGGCGGCTGCGAATCTTGAGATTCTCTTCAATATATGCCATCCTACACCAACGTCAGAATAGAAGTTGAGACAGACACCACGCTCACATGTGTTTGTCGACATCCAAAACATTCGTCTGCTGCGTAAAGTTGCTCGTTCGAACGGCTCGCCTTGCTTTCGCATCCGTACTGGTTTCTTCGCTGTGTGTTCAGAGTGAGCGGGACTACAAACACTGGAGTATCATGTTCACGTACTCATCCACCCTCGCACCAGGCCTCAGACCGCCCTCGGCCTCTTGTCCATCCTCTGCAGTTTTGCGCTTCCTCTTCTTGGCATCGCCTTTCGATAGTTTTGAAACATCAATTCCTTGTCTGGACTTCCTGAGCTTCCTGAGCTCAATGAGATCCGAGATGCTGTCTGCGTTTTATTCTCTGGACTGAACTAGCTATTGGTCATAACGTACGGGAGTGATTTGTCTTCGTCCTCGTCTTCCTCTAGCTCTGAAGATTGCTCTGTGTCTGGCGACAATTCTCGTACCCGGGGCTGTGGTCTGTTGCGTCTCTTGATCATGGATGTTCGGAATAGATCTTATTTGGCTATTACAACCTTGATTCACATGACTGGCATTCGAATGCGGTGCATGCAGATCCAAGTAAGATCCGGGGTACACTTTAGACGTGGCAAACTCGCGACTTTACAAATTCAGTATGATCCGTCTAAATAGTGTGCTGTTTTGCTAGCATGTGCTACGAAACATATGCAAAGTGGAGGCGTAAAAGTAAAAATAATACAAATATCCTACCGATAGGAATAAATCATATCTCTATACGAGTCTATGGTCCACCAATAGAGTGTAATATCTCTTCTGATACAGATCGCGCCTGCTCTTGACGCTCAGCTGCCGCGTTCTCAATAGCAGCTATCTCATCTGATACCCTCAGTGCCAGCCCTGCGTTAATGGCAGGCGAAGCATGCCGTGAGAGCATAGATTCCGGTGCTCTAAGGCCGCCTCGCCGGAGCCGAGGTGCCTGGGAGCGCTCTTCACCAACTTGGCTATCGAGTGCCAAGGATGCAGTGCGGTCTGATGGGGATGATGACCACGGGGCTGGTGGGAAGAGCCAGTCTTCACCCGTACTGGGTGCAGGTCGAGGTGTGGGAATGACTTCAAAGCGTCGTGAACGGAAAGGGAAAAACCGCCTGGCCTGGCCCGGCTGTCCAGATGAAGGGGGGTCGGAATCCTCCCTGGGTGCACTGACGTGTGGACCAGGGAATGTGCTGGACGAATCGAATCTCGATGGGCCCTCCTCATCAGCTAGGTGTCGCGAAGAGTTTCGACGCCGTGCGCTAAAGTCACTGAAATCCGCTGTTCTGCTTCTGACAGGACGGCGAATGGAGGGCTGTCGACTCAGTGAGGTATGGAGCAGGCCACTCGCTGATGGAAGTGTCAAACCACCGAGTCGTGGAGCAGGGGGTGAATCAAGTAGAGGAGGAAGCACCCTGTCGTCTGGCACAGGAGCTGGATTCGGTGCAGGGTAGAAAGCAGGAGAGAACGCATGGTAGGCTGTTGTTGGAGGATTCGGCCGTGGAGGATGCCGGTATGCCTCATACAACTCAGTGTTCATACGAGCGCCCTCGAGTGGCACGAGGCCATACTGCTCTAGTGACTCAAGCTCATCAGCCTCTTCGTCCATTTCGAGTTCATCCGGAGGTCGCGACAAGTAGTCTGAAAGGTCCACTGCTCTTCGACCACTGGTGGCGCGCCAAGTATAACGTTCCCTGTAGGTAGTGGTTGGATTAGATAGCCTCCTCAGCGCTCTAGCGGTGCGATCTCCAATTAGACCACGGTCAGTGGCGTTCTGGCGATGGTGTCGGTCTGCCACCTCCTGTAACTGAGGTGAGAAGTGAACAGAGGGTATGTAGCAGAAAGCGCACCTTGACCAGAATCTCAATCAACGAAGTGGTAAACGAGTCACCACCGTCTAAGTCCTCCACGAAATGCTCATAGCTTATCGTGGGTTCGATTTTCTCAAGCCTATGGCGCTTGATTGCTCCGGAGCTGCAGCAGAGCAGAGGTCTCCTTAGCCAGAAGTTATGTAGTAAGAAGACACTCATACACCAAGCTCCTCATTTTCGCGCTGAACAGTTCGTCACAATATTCGGCCGTCCTACACGCCGCGACATGCGTGATTAGATAGACTTGAACTGATTAGATTAACGCACCATCTGCCCATGTTGTGGTGTCAGGGGAATGCGGTTACAACGAGGCTGACAAGTGAGCAAGCGAAACTAGTTAAGACCGAACTTTGCTGCAAATTTCGGCTGCCCGTTAATGGAGGTCGGGTCTTAAGGTGACGGTCGCTTTTGTTTGGTCACTTGTTTATTGTCCGAAAACACACAATAATAATGTGTCCACTGCGTGCCATATGATACAAAAAATCCATCATTCTAAAGTACACCAGAAGAATACAATCAGCTTGTATCGTCTGTACCGCTAGTATTGCCATTTGTTTTTGGGCCCACGCTCTTAGCTGTTGCACTGGCGCCACCGCGATCCCGTGAGCTAAGCAAACTTTGGAAGAAGTTTTGTAAGACTTCATGTTGAGTTTGTCCTCCAGGACTAGGTGAAGTTCCAGTAGTCGGTGAGCTTGGTGGTCGACCAACGTGAGTGGTCGCGTTTGCACCCTGTTGCAGCCCTTTGTGGTAGTCTACGCGCCCCATCGGCGGTCGTGCTGGCGTTGAGTGAGCTGGTCATTCCCATCCCGGCCTCCATCTCGCTGAGAGCACGCTCAACGTTTGGAAGATTGAAACTACTGCTCCCCAGTGGCCCAACAATACCGGCTGCGGCCGTATCCGTGGGATTTCGGAAAGCGCCACGGGGATCCCGGTCTGGCTTTTTGGCGTTTTCGTCATAATGCTTCGCAAGGAACGCCTGCTCCGCCATGGGGGAATTAAACGGAGGTAAAGGGGGTGGCTGCGCAAGAAAAGATGAGGTCCGTGTGCCAGATTACCAGAATAACGTATTTCACCTTCGCGCCTCGATCTGGTACTAGCATCTTATACATTTTTGTTGCACCTGAATGATCCTCGGACTCCACGTCGGCATCAAGGTCTGCTTCCCAACCTTCGCCCCAAACCTTCGCCTCAAACCCTTCTCGAAGGACACCGATCTTACCCCAACTATCCCAACCGGCAGGAACGACGATGCGATCGCGGTCTAGGGGATTCGGCTTATGATGAAAGACAAATGGATTGCGTAGAGGAGCCGGAGCCTCGGATCCCGATGCCATGGGAGACGGTGCCGGTGGGATAAATAAGAGGTGCAGGGCATATTGCCTCAGCACCTGTAATGTGTTAGGTTGCTGCGTGGTATAAAATAATGATGCTCCATCTAGAGTAGTGTGATGAGATGCTCAATATAGTTTACAGAAAACTTACATTTTAAACAAATCGTTCGTAGAACCTGCATGACGCCATCCGTACGTTCCTCCCACTCACCACCTTTGCCTTTCACCATGCCGCCCATACCGGAACTGCTGGCGCCCACGAGATCATTTCCCTCGTCTATCAGGTCTGATTTGGTGCAGACAACAATAATCGGCACACCGGCAGAATTGTGGGTTAGAGTGCCAGGGCCTGAGCGGTAGGACTGTATTTGAGGAAATATTAGATGTGGCAGGGACTGCGTCGACGGAGGGCTCAGTGTAATGCTGTAAATGATGTTGCACTGCAAGATAATTGTCAGCTATCGGTTTGTCTCGATCAAATGAACATACATCTTTCATGATTCTCTTCTCGAACGATTTCGAGATCCCGAGATCCATCACCCTTCGCCCATATCTCTACCCACTTGAGCCACGTCTGAAGATTGTCTAAAAATGTCCAAGGGCGCGTCCAATCCAAGACAATCATTACAAGGGTATGAGGCAGCGATACCCGAGGAGGCAGGAAGTGTGGTATCAAAGAAGTATGAGCTATCGCATCCGAAGGTACTGTGTACACCGATAGACGCGCCAAGGTGTCTAGTCACGGCATTAGCACGCTTCATGTACAGAAACTTGAGAAGCAGTGAAGCACACCCTCGTCGCCGTCATCTCTTATATCGGCCCAATCATATCCAAGAGCAAAATCTGACCGTGTCTCGTCTTTGCTCTCTTCAGAAACTGGTTTCTGTAGCAAGGCCGAGGCAAGTACGGACTTGCCAGACGACGAAGGACCTAGAAGCAGAACTTGTTTTGAAGGGATTGATCGTGAAGAAGAAACTGAGTCCAATATCGACGACCATAGGTTTTCTGGAGGTGCTTCTGGTGTCGCTGGACGAGACCCCTCCATGATCTCTAGTGTACTTACTTCTAGGCAAGTTCGAGTGCTTGAGAGTCAGACTATTAGAGTACTACACTTGTACTTTTGAAACTCCGATCAAGTTGATCATCTTCGACGACGACAGCTACGACGGCGACAACAGTTACTTCCTAGGAGATCATATCAAAAAGTTACTTTCTTACTGAAGTCATGTCTTCAGTAGTCGCGGTACCGCAACACAAGCTATCAGAGACTCCCAACTCACGTGCAATCGAAATCAATGATTGGGTGATAATCGCGTCCACCAACCCAATATCTAGCGCATCAGAGTGCGACGCGTTGCAAGCTTCGCTTGGATTCCCGTTGCCTGAAATGACGTTTGGAAGTAACTATCTATCTCTCGAACATCAGCCATCTGGGTGGAAGATGATGTTTGACACTCATAATGCCCTCAAGTGTGTGAAAAAAGGTGAGCTCGGGGAGGGCGATGGTGGTGTCAAGGTTGGCTATGCAGATGCCTGGCTTAAAAGCCGGTGAGGAATTCGTGCTGCATCTCTACCAATGTGATTTTGAGCGTACCACCAGCACAGACCCTGGAACGAACCTTCCGTTGCCTGTTACAGTCGCAGCCAAGCATTATGACTGGACTTACACCATGACTTATCCTGGACATCACCTTGATTCTGCACCAAGCACCGATTCGCCAAGTTCTTCAATACAATGGATAGATGCCGATCAAGACAACCCATCTCATTCTATTCCGCTCTCTGAGCTCACGCGACCAGATCCAATATTATTCTACGCGGAAATCCCTCTTTTTGAGGATGAACTACATGATAATGGATCATCCAACCTTCTCGTGCGAATAGTTCGTGCTGCTGTCCCTATGGTTTTTTGATATCTGACGAGGTCGGATTGAAGCGCGTCATGCCAACATGTATATTCATTTTGTCGCGATTCACGCTTCGTGTGGATAATGTGCTTTTCCGCACACATGACACGAGGATATATCATTCTTTCAGCTCAAGCCCTTCGCTAGTCATACGTCAATTGAGTGGTTGGGAGGCACCATATGATGGCGTTAAGAGGGTGCGTCTGATGCTTCCTTTCGTGTTGACTTATCCCTTGATAACTGTCAACTTCAGCGACTTCCCAGTCGCCATGATTTGACCCCTCTGACGGACGCGAACTTCATTGCGAAGGTGTTGACGGAATTACCTGTTACGGAATCTCAGCAGATAGGGGCGAGGACACGTTGGAGGGGTTTGAGGACAAAAGTAGAGATAGCGGTACTGGCAAGAGATGGACCCTAATGCATCAGTGATAAGTGGTAGAACCATCTGCATTGTATCTGTAACTCATGAATTCTGTTTCATATCCGAACCTTCGCGGCAGGATTCGGGGTACAGTCAGACTTTGGGAATTACTCCAGAACGCATGTTCAACACCCTTTTGCAGCATGTATTCTTAATCAATGACTTGCCTACATAGAAATTGACTGCCGAACAATGAGCGGTACCCCCATTGGCGGGGCTTTCATGTAGCTGGCGCAACGGAAGCAGTCGTCGATCCCCATTCCATATCAAGGTTTGCAACTACGTTGGACAAGCGGAAGGATCCTAGTCGGTATGAGACAAAATAGTGGTACGTGCATTACTATTGGCTGACTATATATATGCTATGTGTAGAACGATCCCTGGAAGTGAGGGAACGCCGTCTTCCTTCTTCCAAGGCATGGCTACGGGAATGAATTGCGATTACTCTATGGTGTGCTGGCCGCCTGTGCCACTTGTATCCATGCTATGAGCAAGCCGCTCAACCTTAAATATGAGAGGGTGTATCTTCACCTAGAAGAGTATGGTATGATCAGCTCAGTGCGATCAATTATGACAGGCTACTGACCAGAGTGTCACCAGCACCTCAAGCAACGCCAAAGACCACCCCACCATGACCAGCATCCAGCGTGGTCATCTGAACTTCCGAAAGTATCGGATGAAACGGATGATAACTGCGAGGCGCCATCGTATACATATGATGGAGTGTACACCTTACGACGAGACACCTGGTGATCTCCTGTTCAATCTTCGCAATCGAAATTAAGAAAGAAGATGATCATACATTATAGACAGAGCGACTTTCCATGGTGAACTTGTGCGTGTAGGGGGACAAAGGTGTGGAGCACGCTGACGTCGCTAAGCGTTTGAGGAATGTGAGTTGGAGGAAAAGGGAAAATTTCTGATGCAATTTATACCCAAGAACATGGTATCATTACAAGCACGAGGCAGACTGGGTGCCGGGTTTGGTCCGACACCGGGTTGTGAACCGTGATCTGTTTTTTTTTATTACCGTCATGCAGGAATCTGGGGAACTCTCTTTTGATGACGAGGTAATTGTAATGACCCCACGCACTACGTAGCGATATGTTACGTGGCACTCGCTACTTAATAGTAACTCTGTGCTGTCTATGTGGGAGTTTAAATACTCGAAGTCTTTGCGCATCATGAGTCGATGTAACGTGGCTGAAGCAACCGTCTGGCTATCCTCATAAGTGCAAGAAATTGTATGCAATGTCGATTCTTCTATTGGGCATGACGTGCTGCTATGCTACTGCTGTCATGACACACTACTCCGAATGTCCCAAAGCAATACAAATTTTCCACATATGGTCACGGTGTTCAACAACACATGTTTTTTCGGCCATCCTCCTCCGCGGCCCGAATTCTCGAATGAGAATTGTTCAACTCGTGGAGGTCTTCAGAACCATTGGTACACGCTTCAAGTGAATTGATTTATCTCACCGTTATTTATAACCCGTGCAACAGGTTTTTGTGCGGCGCTAGCTAGCTACAGAACCCTAGACGGATCCAACGAGACTTCAAGTTGGAACTTTTAATCTGAATATGTTGCATGGGGTCCAGTGGGAAAATGAGCTCAGGATCATGGAAGTCATTTGGCGCTTGCCACACAAGCCCTTGTTGTCTAATGGTTATGACGTCAGACTTCTACTAATGAAGCGCATCTGGAGGTTGCGGGTTCGAGTCCCGCCAGGGGTTGATTTTTATTTATTCTTGGTCTATTTTACATTATAACCTTTTCTCGATGCAGGCAATTTGATTTTCATCTCGGATCAACATGAGAGAATTAGTAAGTTACAGTTGATCGATACACCAGATTTCATTTTCTGTCCGTTTTACCGCTTCTACATATTTACTTGTGGAGCTGGACAAACAAGAGGGTCCCCTAGGTCGGGCGGAGTACCTTGGAATGGCACTGAGGGCGCACAACGTATCACCAAATGTAGGATAGCGGGTAAGCAGCGAATTTCCGAGTCCCTAGCTAGCCATCCTGGGAGGTATTCCACCCTTGTTCGGCCTGAACAATATGTAAAAGGTTGGACCCTGTTTCCAGCACCACAAGCTTGGTAAATAGAAGTGGTAAACTAGATGACCAAAATGAATAATCAAGAACTATCAATCCGTCTGAATTTTTCCGTGGTAGTATCCATTCGCAGGAGTTATTTCATGGAGAAACATAGCCCAATAAATCGAGTTTTAATAGGTTTAAACAAGTTGAATCAACGATCGCACTCGGCCCAGGCTGAGTCCACTGGTCTGTGCGTACATTCGTCACGTCTGACGTATACCTGTGACGGTGAATTTCATGATACCTAATTGACTTCTTCAGGCTTCAGGCTTCCTACCCCGAACACGACTTTAGTAGTAATTAGGTCCCGATAGAGTTCGAACCCCAACTTAGCAGATTTGTTTTGCCACGCTATCTCTAGGACAAATGCGAAGGATCCTGATTTACTTATCCATGCTTCCGATTCAAGTTGAAGCCGATCTTGCAATGAGTCAAACTCACAGTACCAGCGTGTTCCACCTGCACAAATGCACAAGGAACATATGCAACCAACGCTCGGAACATGATCCCGAAAGCTGGAGTCCAGTTGCGAAGCGGGTGACTTCGTCGGGCGTCCCCTTACCGCCAACAGCGGTATGACACTGATAAGAACGCGAATTCAGAGTGTGAAGTGTCGTTCTCCATGATACCAAGCAGCATCAAAGGTTTGTCTCTCAGTGCCACAACGTGAGTTATAAGGTTGCCTGCGCTCCTGCTTTCCATGATAAACGAGGTGCACCCAGGTGTTGCGTTGGAAAGCGTTGAGTGTACCTGCTTGCGTGGCGTCGTTGCCATAGAGTAGTTGGGTTGGTGGTCATAGGGACGAGCTCAAGCTCGCTGTCGATAGTCAAGAGCGCCTCGCCTTGTCCCGCGCCCAGTTCACCTTGTACAATTGCAGTGAAAAACGGAGTCACATGTGCCTTCATGTCTAGATCCCATCTGAGCTGGAAGTGTCGGTAAGTAAGAACAGATGTAATAGTTCCCGCCACGTCCGTCTGCCCTCGTTCGAAAGGGATGAGCTGCGTAGAGTGCTGACCCGGAACATTGAGCATCACAAACCTTGTTGAGCTCCGAGAACTTGTGGGCCAGGTTGTAACTCGTGAACTCGAGATCTTCCTCAGGCGAGGACTAACGATCACTGCTGGCCACGACCCTGCTCCACAAGTTCATCTGCGTATCATAGATTGCCACGGCGAAAGCCGCATCTACAGGGAGTGATCTGGCATTGATGAAGGCAGTGGCAACTTCGCGTCGTGAAATTGTCAATGATCGTGTTGCCAAATTACCGGCGAGAAGGTCAAAATGTGTTATAGGCCTCCAATGTAGATGTATGATAGTACTGCTCTGCTGCGGTGATTGTGCCCAACAGGGCGCAGGCTCAGCACTTCTTTGTACAAAGAAATGACCTCGTTGAGACCAAGAGAGTTGCTGTGGTGATAGAAGCAGCAATATGGCGACAAGGCCGAGTTACCGTTCAGACCCCCAGAGCAGAGAAACGGCTCCACGACAACGTTGTATGCACTCGTCTAAATCATCAAAACTGTTGCATTGTTGAAGGCGTAACACAAAGGCCCACGCAAACTTGTCGAGCGATCCGGACGGTGTTCATTGCCAAGAGGACAGAGTTCGAGCACGATTCGTCGAAGGTGGATGCCTTCATCGGATGCGTCTATTAAAAGTTGGTTTTATTCGTGGAACACATAATCGACGCGATTTTCTCCTACCGCGATGTTACGAAGGTAGGTGGCCTCTGGACAGAGGAATAATGGCTTGCAGGACAGTTGCGTGGATTCGTGGATATATACGGCGGTGTGCACCCTGCTGTAGCACTATGCCAACGCTTTGGTGAGATAATAGATGGATAAGGATGATCGGGGTGGCCATGGGGACGCAATGCAAGGGCTTCGCGGAAGATAAAGTCGATGTTCAAAGGCGGGCTCACGCGAGGTTGGTGAGAGCTGCTTCCTGGTCAGGATGGCCGACTAAACACTGGTCCAGAACAACTGAAAATGCTTGACGGCATAATTCAGGCGAGAAACCCTCTTCATTTTGCGTGTCACATATTTGGCCAGTCGTGACTCGTGCATGGCCCGCATCTGCGTATCGAGAAATTTCGCAGCCGATGGTGGACTGCAGTTGGTAGCAAAAGCCAACAACAAATACACAGGTCGGCGTATTTACATCAAACAATACGCCGTCCTGATTATAGCAAGTAATTGTATGAATGGGAAGCAGGTTACTCACTGAATGGCTCATCTCCACGATCGAATAGCTCATATCGTGAGATCTCTAATTTTCTGATGATTTCCCTATTGCCTAGCATTTGATCGAGCTCGAAAGACGCCCACATGGCCAGTGATGATGATGCATCGAGTGTTCTACAAATAGAAGATGAGTCGTCGAATCGCGTTCGAAAGTCTACATTGGGAAGGTTTCGGTCTCGCCTCACATTACAGATTCGTCTGATGACAGCACTCTGACGGTTGATTTCCAGCTTCTCCTGGGGAAAGGGATATGTAAATCCTAGCTGGAATGCGCTCGAAAGGGACTTTGATATTTTTACCGCTGATGACTGAAGTGGAGCGAAATGACCGCAACAGATAGTGCTGCGTGGTGGACAGAATGAGTGGATATGGAGTCTGTGAATGAAGTTCAGGTGAGAGGGGTTTAGTAAGGCTTCAGGTCATGCTGCATGTTTATTTCCATAACGTCGAGGGTTGTGCGGCACGATAGATGCTTGTATAATTGCACCAAGTGCTGAGGCTAAAAGATACTGGGATGCAGAGGTGGGCATTGTCCGACAGCGAGATTGGCAGGAAGTAGGTAGATCAACAACGCTTTTCCTACATCGTATCTTCTCAACTTCCGAAGTTGCATGGACCGAGGCTTGGAGGACCTTGTCCTCACGTCCTCTCCATACGTTTGTTGGTAATTCTCTCAGGCTGTTAAAGACCATTCCAGGAAGAACAGGCACTTGGCATTTTTCTATGGGGTCTATTTGGTCATGTTTGGATGAGAGGCCTCTTGCCAAATAGCGCACTCACCTTCATGATGAGTTGCTGCAGTGGAAATTGGTTTGTCTTTCAAGGCTAATGTGTTAAGCAACTTAACTTAGGACAGGTTATCAATTAGGTGAGCTATTAACATACACTTTTCTTCAAATCTGGTGCGGCACTCAGCATTTAAAGCTCTACAAATTTGCGTGCTTCGCTGACCAGGCCTCGTAGGTTGGTCCCATGACTTCTCCAACTTTTCACGATCCGCCCGTGTTCTCGAGCTCGCCTGTTTCAATCAGAGCCGCTTCTCCTGTTCGACGAAGGGACAATAGAGAATGCTTATCATGTCAGACTGACGTGGTGGAATCTGGCTCTCGACCCCACATCTCGCCGACGCTTATCTCCTCTTATGATCTGAATGACCCAGAAGTGAGGGAGAGGCAGAGAACATTGGATGTAGACATGGCTCTGCATTTGTCCAGAGCCCGGAGAGAGACTACAACGACGCCTCCAGCAGCATTACTTGAATATGAATCGGCCCCGCACCCCGAAACAGTGCCCCCTTTCTCTCACTTCTCAGCTATTGAGGAACACGACATCGATATAGCTCGGGGGGACAGAATTAATCACATCAATCATGATGGTGTGAACTGCGGTTCTGACGGGCTGCACTCGCCACGATCTCTAACTCCTATCGACTTGCGGATGCAGCACCTTGACCAAACCCATGACCCAGCGCTTCTTACGACTATGACAAGCGAGTATCAACCGATTCGCAGTGAAGCTCTCGCTTCCATGCCCGGCCTTCCCGTGTATCAAGCGAATGCATCTCGTTCCGCTTTTTCTTTTGCTCATCTGGAAGTCTTTGCGACTCAAGAAAAGACTCAGTTAGGCATATCATCACCTACGGATACCAATGGCACAGCATTCCGGTTGCGTCTCCCAAGCTTTGCACAGAACGGTGGTTCAGAACTGGCCGCATCTCTACCTGGAGGAACTCCTCCATTTGACACTGCATTTGACACTTCTTATCGCAGTAATATCCGACAACGCAAGCTCAGCCAGAGCAGTCCTGTCCCAAGGCATAGCCGGAAAAGCACCCGGGGCAAGATGGCCCTATTTGAGAACCACGGCGGAGACTCAAACTTCCCTCTTCCAAGCCGGCTTATGGGACATGGGCATCTAAGTGCCATCCCATCCTCAGATAACGTGTCAACAAATCAGTACAACGCTTCAGGGATGGGCGGGATCATGACACCTGGTCATGACAGACCTTACCGATTCTCGTTTTACTCCAATGCGTTATCTGCAACTATTCACGCACGAAGCCTCAGCGAACTTCCTGCGGACGGGCAGTCCTTCGAGGATTTATTTACTGGTCTGGCTCCTCCTGACCGTCCGCGAGACGCAAAGGATGGGTCTGCCCCTGTTCCCGTGCCTCCACCACACCAAGGGACAGCTTCTGTTCAGGACGCGAACAGGCGTCCTCCAGATCTCGCAACCCTTAACCAAAACGGAGGTCGTCCGGAGAAGGGCGGTGCTGGTAATTCAGGCCCACCAAATAGCCTCAGGAGTGGCGGCGAGCTTGAGGGGAATACGTGGTGGCTAGATGTTCTAAGCCCGACAGATGAAGAGATGAAGGTTCTGAGCAAGGTGCTGCCTACGCAAACGATTGGTTCTCTAAACTCAAGCATTGTCTTAGGTATTCTCTATCCACCCTTTGACCGTTGAAGACATCCAAATGGAAGAAGCTCGTGAAAAGATTGAATTGTTCCGGAACTACTACCTTGTCTGTTTCCGGAGCTTCGATCAGGATCCTTATAGCCCCATGCACCTGGAGCCCCTGAACATGTACATCATTGTATTTAGAGAGGGAACTTTGTCTGTAAGTGCTTCATTTCTTTTCCTATAATGTGTTATTCACAAGCCTTCTAGTTCCATTTTCGTCCCACCCCACATCCACAAAATGTTCGCCGAAGAATAAAGCAGCTCAAAGACTACATTAATGTCACATCAGACTGGATCTCGTATGCATTGATCGATGACATCACCGATGCCTTCGGACCTCTTATCCAATCCATTGAATACGAAGTGGACTCTATTGATGAACTCGTCCTTATTTTGAAGGAGGCGGAGCAAAGCGACATGTTGAGAAGAATCGGAACATGTCGCAAGAAAGTCATGGGATTACTGCGCTTGATGGGTAATAAAGCGGATGTAGTCAAGGGGCTCGCGAAGAGATGCAACGAAAATTGGAGGGTAGCGCCAACGTCAGACATCGTGAGTTATTCGGTACAGGTCATCCGTGCCACGACTCATCTTTATAAAAGGGTCTATATCTTTCCGACATTCAGGTTAGTTGCTGCCGACGCTAAATTTACTACTGATTGATTTTAATGAATTGTTAGGACCACTTGATAACCATGACGCAAAATCTAAATCACTACGAAAAAATCCTGTCCCGATCGCACTCCAACTACTTGGCGCAGATTTCCATCGAAATGACAGACGCTAACAACCAGATCAACGATGTCCTCTCGAAGTTGACGGCATTGGGTACGGTTCTCATCCCTATGAACTTGGTAACGGGTCAGTGCCCTCTCTTCACCGTCGATGATCTGTGTCCTCATGTCTCATCCAGGTATGTGGGGTATGAATGTACACGTCCCAGGCCAGGATGATGCGGTATGTAGACTATCATTTGCGAACCGCCGCTGTTTATTTGTTTTTTCAGGTCACTTACCACTGGTTCGCTGGGATCCTTGCCGCGCTTGCAGCCTTTGGCATCATTGGCGGGTACACCACATACAAACTCATGGTTAAACGATAAACGCATTGGGGGTTAATCGTTTTGTTTTAATTCTGTTCTCAGTATCTAGACCTTCGCCTTTCTGGTTCCATCATTTGTTATTCCCGATTTCGTTATCGTGATTTGCGCCTAGACTTTTATTGAGTTCGCGGGAGAACTCGAGGATCGTCCTCAATTTCCCATTCGCAACTTCGCTTCTTTTCCCATTCATATATGTAATATTCACGTACATCAACATTCCATAGAAAGCATGACAGGGTAGTGAGGACGATTGCAACTAAGTACGGTCAACAAATAACAAGTACACCATAGACCTATCAAAACCAAAATTCGTAAATGACGCATGAAAGAATACACTAGAGATCTATTTGTGATTTCCAACCAACAACTTTACAGACTTCACAGAAGAGCTTTCTCCATTCATTGTGTTAAGAGACGGGGAGGAAGGTGGTCTAGCATAAGGGGGAGGGATCGAAGGCGGTCGCCGAGGGGAAGGCTCGGTGTCAACTGGTGATACAATCATGGCCAGTGAAGGTGAAAGCGTCTGCTGCATCGAACGAGCTGCTACACTCGCGGGCGGGAGAACAGGAGTTTGAGGAAGGCGTCGCTGCTTGGGTGATCTCGGCTCCGGGTTGTCTTGTGGAGTGTCATCCGCATACTTACGCTTCTTGTTGTGTGGTGACTGTGGGTAGGATTGCCAAGGTGGGGGAGGTGGGACGTGATGCCCGTTTGCCGATGGCTGCCTTGCAAGCTCATAAACAGGTGTTGGTGGTGTGGGAAGTGGTATGGGAGCGCTGTGAATATGCGAATGCCGGTGGTGCATAGAAGGTCCAGGTTCAGCACTGTGAGGCATTGTATGCGCTGGAACGCTCCGTGAAGCTGGCGCATTGCCGTTATTGAGTTCAGGTTGACCGGGCAAAAATCGTATGAGTTCCACGAATAACGTTTGAGTATATGGGGGTAACATCTTCGTATAAATAACATCTTTGCTGAAGGTGTCCAGCATTACGCTCGTATTGACATACGTGTCTGGATCTTGGTTGTCTGCTGGTCCGTTAGTGTGGGCAATACGTTGAATGGATTTTACTGACCAACGTGCTTGACACGGACTTCTGAATAGATGTATGGTCGGCTCCTACGCAAACAACACAGCGGGCACATAAATCGATTACTGCCGCTGACGTTGGCCTCTATAGGGAAGAAGACACAGCCAGAGTGGTAACGTCTTTTGCAAGCTTCGCATTCAACGGTTGGATAATTGATGAGGTATGGCGTGCGACCGCGGCATATGCAACGCGTTCCATCCAGCCAATCCTTGTCGACATCTTGACCAAAAGTAAATTTTGGTCTTCGCCTCTTCTTCACTCGAACAGCTGGAGGTTGACCAGCGAGGATGCGATGCAGACCAGCGAGGTCGAGACCGTATGAGACTTCGCGACTCGGAGACACGGCAAACTGGATCTTATACAATTTGCGCATGTAATGACGCACTTGAGGAATATATTCGGCCCGTTTGTTGCCGGGTTGTGAGGCATACGTCAAGAATTGGCCGATGACTTCGCACAAACGATCTATCCGACGAACAATGATCTCCAGCTGCTTCCAGGCTTCCGAATAATTTTTGGTTATTGGAGGTGCTTTAAGGAGGATGGTCGGCAGGAAACAGAAGTGCCAACTCCGTTCCTTGTGGATGGCACCATTCCAGTGATGATGATCACAGAAAGGGCATGAACCACCGTTAGCTGCGCAAACGCCATGGAACCTTGCGAAGCAGTGGTCACACTGAACCGCGTCGGAGTGAGTCCCAGGTGGAGGGGGGCGAACGGGGGTGGTGCAGATGCAGGTGAAGTACTCATCAACAGGGGGTTTGTCGTCTTCCTGCCTCGTTGACTCTTCAACATCATTCAGGATGTCCCGGCCATGAGCGCATTCATGCTGCGGACAGTACCACGGTAAATCTTCTAACCATTCTTGATGGCGAGTGAGCTGATCGTCCAGCTTCTCGAAAATAGGAAGTGAGAACATAGTGAGATGCTCCCTGGCATAGGATCTCCACTTCCGCATCATCACAAAGACATCTGTGTCCTCTCGGTGCTGGTAACGATGCTGAAGAATTGATTCACATCGATTCTCAAGATCCAAAGCAAACTCGGCAGTTTGCTTCAGATCTCTGATAGCAGGAATGCTGAAGTCTTTTTCAGCGCGAGTAACGAAACGCGTGACTTCTGAAATCCTGGGTTTGGGTCCCTGACCATCAGGGGATATCCAAGTTTTTGCCTGTTTCTCGAAATCCTTCGCTTTGTTGCGCGCGGACATCAGCCGGTCGTAGATTGTGGCATCGATAGGAATGGTGGAGTCTGTCTCAAAGAATTCGTCCAGCTCTTCGATGGTCTTGTGTGGCTGGTCCAATAACAGCCTCGCCCGCTCTTCCCAGTCGTCCCCAGCTCGTTGACGAGACTCTAGGGTCCGAACAAACTGGTTTTCGAGAGGAACACTGCAACCGCGAGCACGGGTTAAAAGCCCACGAATGTCTTCTAGTGTAGCTGACGCATCCTCCGCCTTCCCCTCCAACTCCCTAATGAGTTGCTCCCGAGATACAAGCTTCTCAACTTCAAGTATTTCATCAAGATGGACATTGATAGATGATGCGCCAAGGAGCAGCCGCTCACAATCAGCTATGAAGGCGTCCCGACTGGCCACAGAATTGGCGGAATTGAGTAACGCTGAGGCTTTGCATTGGATATCTTCTGCTTGTTCAGCCAACGTACGGAGGCTTCCAATCTCCGAGGTTTCAAACCCGAGATTTTGCACTTCCATCAGGAGAGCATAGAGATCGTTGAGCCCACGGTCAGGCCTATCTCCAGCATCACGGTCATCAAACGCAGCGTTGTTCGCTTCGTGTAAAGACGGGCGGCCACGTGAGCGGCGGGTGAGCTTACGACCTTGTTTGCGACTAATGAACGCATTGGCAGCCTCCAACCACTCGTTGCCACGGTTGACGCATTTACGAAGGGCGGTGAGTTCAGGGAGGTGATGAGTGATTCGCTCGCCTTCAGCAAGGAGCGCGCGAAGAGAACGTAACGACGGAAGGTCACTTTCCACAAGCACCTTGTTGAATTTTGTCCGCCATTTTCCGGGAACGGCTGCGCGCTCGACGACTTTTCCCAGAGTCTCGCGGAGGTCGGCATCAGAAAATCGTTTCCTGAGCGTCAATTCTTCTGGTGAATGGTCGCATAGTTGATCCATATGATCAACGCAGACAATCTCGCTCTTGCAATGACAGATGATCTGCGAGAGGTAGCAAAAGGCTTTGCAGATTGTGCATTGGTATTGATCTTCAGGGCGGTCTTCTTCCTCGAGACGCTCGCAAACGCCACGATCACGAGCCAGCTGACGAGCTGCGAGCTCTCGCTCAGTCATTTCCTTAAGACTCGACTCCAGCCTTCAAAAAATATCGTGAGCTGCGCGAAATAATTTATTAATATTTTAATTTTAATGCTTACCATAACGCAGTTTTAATAGATTGAGATTGTTGCGTAATCGTTACGAGAAGCTCATCATGGGAAAAGACTGGCAGTTTCTTGTGTTCACGGTAACGTTGAACACAATCACGACCAAAAGGCAACCAGTCTGGGAGCGCAAAATTGACGGCCTCATTGAAATTGAACTGCCATGAAAGTCAGTATCAAGATGCGATCGATCGAAAACGTGCCAAACGCACTCCGTGGTTGAAGCCTGCATGGTATGCTTTCGGGAACGTGATGACAAACTCGCCTGCCCGTTGGTTGCACGCATACACGCGGACTCCGGCATCAGCGAGACGTTTCGGGTTCATCAAAGTTACGAGTTGGAATAGGAGATCGGACTGCGCCTCAAAGAGGTCAGGTGCCTCACTCTTGATGGCGGCCTCGAACTTTTCTGCGTCTTCTCCTGGGATACCATACCAGGTCTTTGTTTCGCCCCAATGCACTAGAAAGAGTGGTCAGAAAAGATAACCTGCTGCAATGGGACACTGCGTACTGAAGTTGATGCTATAAGTATAATGATCCTGTCGTAGTGTAATTGAATCAGCTATCAGTGTTTATGACTGAAATGTATCAAGATGGACGCACCTCATTGTGCCAACAAAATGTTGAAAAGACCATTCCAACGTATGTCCAAGGGACAGTCATACCGGAAATATCAGACTTGATGTATCTGAGAAGGGAATCTGGAAGAATAGGCATGTTGTTCAGATTCCATGGGTCCTTCGAGGCGGGCTCCAGTGGATGGGTCTCCAGGGTGGGCATGGCACTGGACGAGGGCAAAAAAATTGTCAACATTGATTTCAACGGTGAAAAAATCCAAGAATGCTCCAACCTGCCATGCGTAGTCGAATGTACATCAGCACCATATTCAATCTCCACGGTCTCATTCGGCGACTGCACAAGGCGCCAAAATTCATTCTCCACATCATATTCAGATATCAGCGTGCTTCCGACGTAATTCACCGTAGGGTCATCAAGATCCGCGGCCGATGGAGACGGTGGAGGATGAGAGGTCCACCACCTTCTGCGGAACTCAAGATCGCGCGCCTGGAAACTCGAGAGGCTATGTTCCTCGCCCTCATCAAAGCCGAAATCGCCACCAGTACCAAAAAGACAGATGTGGCAAAACCACTGCCCTTTCGGAATGGTGGCCAAGGGGGGGTCGAGACAAAAGATGTGGAATCCTGTGGTAACAAGGTCAAACGCGCACACGTTTCGAGGCTATAGAGTAAACATACCACAATCACACCCATCACACAGCAACATTTTTTCGTCCTGATTTTTCTTCTGGCAAATTTCGCAGGAAAGCTGAAAAAGAGTGAGTCCATCAAAAAGAGGGGTGCGATGATACGTACTTCTAAGGTGCGCTTGTACTCGTCGTCAGGCTGAGGTGAAGCTGACACCGGAGATAACCGACTGTGAACATCAAGAGACTTCCTCGTAGCTGGGCGGTGTTCACGGTTAGATATTGACTGACCGGGTGCATTGACTGGCTTACGAGTCAATTCTACTCTTGCTCCGCGCTTCACAGCATTGCTCTCGGGTCGAGGCCCGCTACGTTCTTTATAATCACCTTCATCAGGGGGTTCTGATAATGGGCTAGATGTAGAAGTAAGTGGGCTAGATGGTGGGGAACCACGCTCGCGAGGAGATGTCAAAGGATGTGTGGCAGTCTGGATGTTCATATGAGTCTTTAGCTGCGGATCGCGCGCTGCAGTCGGAGATGTGGACAGGGTTGGTGAATTCCGAACACAGTCGCAGAAATGTTCATAAGGCAAGATCACTCGTGTATAAGAGTTCTTGATCTGCGTGGATAATCCAGGGATGCCACGGTAACCGAGGAGAGCCCCGAGGTCCCCCCATTTCTTGTTTTTAGTCACCTATGAGACTATTCAGGCACTAGCTACACTATGATGGAGGATCACGCACTGCCTCGTAGCCACCGAGTTTCTGGACCTCTTTGCGGAGTAACCACAGGTCTAGGGGCTTGTGGTTGATGGTGGGCACAGATACACGAGGATTGCCTTGTTGTTTATGGAAACGGTATAGCTGCTCCAAAAAATTGACCTTCGCACGAGATGAAGCTTCAATAGAGTTAAGGCGTTGCAGCCGAGTCTTGAAACGAAATGTCTGATACATGATTTATTAGAGCCATCATCGTAAAGAACATCACTATGTCACGGAGAAAAAATATACAAACCTCGCTATCAGTAACACAGGGCATTTTCCAACCAACGGGAGGAATGATCTTGCAGATGCCATAATTTTTCGCCTTTTCTGAGATGGAGCGGATGTAAGTCATAGGGTCTTTGAACTCATCTGACGTCGGGTAAAAAACTGGGCAGTCTTCTAATCCAAACGGACGGGGTTTGGAGCGCATGGGCTGCGTTCGAGGACTCGACGTTTTGACTGTAGATAAGTCTAACGTGGGCGAGACAGAGATGGGAGTGCCATCTCCAGAAAAATTGTCGGTCGGTTCCTGCTGTGTTATATCATCATTATCGAGTGATGTCACATGGTTCTGCAAGGCGGCCAGAGCATGTGTCTTGGATTTACGTGGGGCGCGTTTGGTGCTACTGGATACGCTCCGCTGTGCTCCGGACTGGGAAGGAGAAAGAATTTCCTCCTGTGTGTCTATAGGGACTGCACCTTCTACAGGAATTGACAGACAAGAAGTGAATGTAGCAGGCTGTTTATTCGAAAATTCGGTCGGCAAGGCGTCTGAAGAGCGTGGGGCGCTGCTTTGCGCAGGCGTTCGCGGAGAGCGACCGCGACGCGAAGGCGATCCCCGCGAAGAACTCGGAGAAGAAATAGTCTGCATAAAGCAGCAAATGAGCAGTAATAATTGTTATCGTCGAGCAGGAGGAAGAGTTATTGTGAGTGAAAGCTGCAGACTTCCGAAGGTCCTGAATTCCAATGTGTGGGAGCGGGCATTGAAATTGTGCACTGAGTTATCGTGTTGCCTTGTTGCTTCTGCGTGGGAATATGACTACATATTCGCGGAGTTTAGTGAAAAGCCTCCTTTGCGGAAATACCTTTAGCTGTTCCTCTTATTTTCATTCCACATTCCTTGCACTCTACACTCAATAGTGAACTGTCCACCTTCCATTATCATATACTAACATTTTATGCATGGAGCATGTCTATTTTACACACAGGCGCCAAAGATACGCTTAGATCACTCACTGTGGAAATGTTGATCCAGATGAACTTGCCACCGATACGGAAGTCTTCCGAAGACTACCAAATCCAGCCAAGTGGCCACCTAGATGGAGCTGAGGGGGCCAAAGATCGAGAGCGGTGCGCTTCACCAAAGGAACACTTGATTAAATCCACGCATTGATGTTTCATATACCTCCTGCGATGTGGCCGTATTCAAAATCCAGCGAGCCAGACATCAGGCAGTAGAACGACATATTACTTCACCAATCTCGAGGAGATCGGATCTGCCTCCAACAATATTACTTATGCGAGGCATTCGGTACGCGCTGTTATGTACATAGCTTCTCCATGAAGCTTCAGGCTAGGCATATTACTCCAGCACACGCGCCACCCATGTGCCATTCTGTCACGATTAATATCGAGGTCCATCCGTATGTCAAGTCTTGCCTGTACCACGTTCGAACTTGCGTGCTCCGGCTGGCAGCCATAGCATCGTGCCTTTCACTGTTGGTCGGCTTTCGGCACAGAATCAAATCAAAAAACACTTCCACGCCTCCACCGCGGCCTGTGTGGCAGTTGAGCCGAGACAACAGCTGTGGACCAATCGGTGTCCTTTGTGTTATTTTTAGCACTCAGAGAGACAAAGAAACTCTAAACAGTCGTGATTATTTCTGGGAAATCAAGAAATATGTGGTGCTATCCCAAACGTGGACGGTTCATGCGAATTCAAAATCTCAATTTCTAGAGATAATCAAGCATCACTCCCGCTAAGTAGTTTTCACGGCCCGTACGTCCTTTCTGATAAAGACGATGGAGTTACCGTTATTTTTCTACCTTGTTCTCGAGCTCACTCGTGATTTCCTGATTGTGCTCCAAATAGTGGCGAGCCATCCCGCATTTCCTTTGGATAAGGTTCGTGTATTCTTCCAAGGGACAAATACTTTCTTTTGTCATTCTCAACGATATCAGGATTATTTCGCATCCTTCGGAATACTGTCTAGTATGATCGTATCTCTGATCAAGATACGTATGATATTAATAGTTAACCACACTAGTGCAAACCTTTTCTAGTTGCAAGAATCAAACTGCGCCCAATGATCATCTGCATCAAAGCTCTCGAATGGGCTACCCACGATATTTCCCGTGCTGTGTCCCATGCTCGCAGCATATTTATCTGAAACAAGCTTCCTCGACAGCGAAGCTAGTAAATGTCAAAGTGCTCTCCGGGCGTGTTTGAGGAACGTAATATCGTGGGCCCGCCGACGGTGGTATTTTTGAAAGTACCTCACTCTCGCTGGCAAGGTCACATCCTACTGCGTGGCCGTCTGCTTGGGTCTTCTTAACACCTCCGAACACACGCGAAGTTCTGCATGTCAGCTGCGCCTTCCATATTTCCGCACGTTTGTTTCGCACATACAGAGATTTCCCCCTAAACCTTCAAAGTCGCTAGTGAATGGTCTGATGTATGAAGCTCATTGTCCTCGACACAAATACAGCAATGTCGAGGTAATGGCATCGGGTAGACACGTGCGACTATATGGATTGATTGGGACCTGGAGATTGCGCGAAATTAACATCAGTTGGCAGCCTTGGCTACATACGGCTATGCATTCATAGTGTGCCTGCCTTACGATACTGAAGTTTGCAAGTCTCACGTCGACTGAAATGGTACACATTCAAATGAACAATAAGACTTCGATACCTGTCAAACTTTGATATTGAATGGGAGATCGGTGACGTGGAGCGGCTATTAATTGTAGGCAAGAGCTGACTGGCACTGTATTAAATGTCCTGGCCTGCGAAACCTAAGCCTGTCTGAACACATGACAGGTTCAATAATCAACCTCGTAACATCACCCTGGACACGTAGCAGCCTGTACGCCGGTATCTATATATTCCATATCATATAAATAGTACACCAGATCACAGATTGGAAATTACATAACTGAGCTATATCAGCTGTGTCACGCTGTGTTCGGGTCTCTTGCCTTGCAAATGGAAGCCCGGAGCCACTCAAGAAATCGTGTTGAAATATGGAAATCCCTCGCCGCGTATATGAGCCACAGCGTGAACAGCGCCACAAGGCCGCATGCGCTTCCAGTGGTCGCAAGCGTCAAGGTGGGCGTAGAGGTGAAGACTTGATAAGAGAACGCGAGCATGAAATACAGCATGCTGCAGAAGAACACGACTTTCGTGAGCTAAGGGGGATGCACAACAGTAGGATACTCACCCCCACAACAACATAGCATACGGAAGACCATGCACAGTCGCTACAGCTTTGGTGCCAAACGCGGACCCTGTCATCTTCGTGAGGAAATCGACCTGCAACCCTTTGTTATAGTGATATGCGACAATCGAAGCACCATTCTTTGCTCACCGCTGTGTCAGCAGATTCCTGCCCATATAACCGATTCTGTCGGGTGAGAAACAGGGACACAACTAACGATCCAACAATACAAAAAATGGAAAGATATGTGCTAATAATTGGGACCGAACCTGAATTCTGGTTGCTGACGGAAGGCACAGCCAGAAAGCTGACGTCCACAGCTATCATAACAGTTGACTGACATAATTAAGTAAAAAAGGACCCGAACAGCGAGAATTGTGGCACGCACATACATTGTGATGCTTGACCATTCAGTGCTCAGCTTGCTGTTGAAGTTCTTCCAGCGCGGAGAGTTGATACTGCGGTCGACCCATACTCGTCGGAGTTCTTCCATGTGTGACTGCGGGGCCCCGAACATTGCAACGTTGAAGGTCCATGAAAGAACTAAGACTAGCTTGTTCCTCTTCTTCTTTTTGTAAACGGTCTGATCCGCATCCAAACGGGCAGCAGGGAGCCCGCAGAAGTTGAAGAATTTGGCTCGGACTGGTATGAAGCTTAGAGAGGATGTATTGTAGAACGTGCAACTTACCGAAATATCGCATAAACCTGGCTGCTAGACAGTCACCACCTGGAGTAATGTGGAAATGATGATGCTTACCAATGACACAGATAGAATAGGTGCCGCCGATATTGTCTAGTTTGGAGAATCAGCAATGCCACTGGGGAAACCTTTCACTTGCCTCCAAGCTGGTCGATCAAGTCCAGAATTTTCGATAATTCATCACCGTCGAAGGGCGAGAGCGACACATCTGTTGTAACGGTCTCTGCAAAGTCCTTTCAGCGACTCGTGTATGCAGTCAAGGAAGGAATCTCACCAGCGCTAGCATGCACAACGACTTCTTTGAGTTCCTTGAGCAACCGAGCGCATGGTAGATTTGCATTGGGATACATCTCGCAGTGTTGCCTAGGGAACACCTGATTAATCTTGTATTAATCTTGTATTTTCTATTTCGTCACTTCGTGAGAGGATTTTACAAACGGAAACTGAACACATACAATGAAAGACTCGCCAGTACTGATGTTCAACAGCATACTCTGGAAATGCAAACTATCAAAACACGACAATTATCCACTATTGAGGGCGCACTGATATGGCTTAGCTTTTCGACACCCTGAACTCCACAAAAAAGTTTCACTGTAGGTAGCTCATGGAGCCAGAAAAGCAGATGCTTGTCGTGATCAATAAAATAGTATCTGCAAATTCTAACTTTAGACTTCTGGTTCCATGCCAATTGCACCACAAGCTCGATCTTGTCGCAACATAGCTGCAACTCAGGAGGCGTAAGAGCGAGTACTTCATCCACACACGAGTCCATTTTGCACCGGCGATCTTCGTTCTGCAAGTTCGAGTCCGTATAGATACCCTGTTACTAGCAGTAAGAGTCTTCTTATATTTCGGTAATAAATGACGTACCCGCGTGGGGTTATGAAAATAGAGTGCTCCTTCTGGGTGTATACAGGCATGCCAGTCTCCACAGTCTTGTTGACGCGGACTGCATCCCATTTGTGCTTATTTCGCCCAAGAAGAAGGTAGCACTCACTCTAAAAAGTCTGTCGTTTTAGGAGGAATAAACTTGTATTTGTTGTTTTCGGGGTTTCTGTGATCACATTAGTACTGGATTGCAGTCGGCACACAAGAACTCACATTGACGGTGTTTTATCGTACCGCATCACATCGGAGGGCACGAATGGCTCGAAAGTAGTGGAACTCCGGCTCTGGGGAATAACGGGAACTGCAGGAGATAACTGTAGGACACAACTAGAGGATGACGGAGGGGCCTGGACCGGCAACAGTGAGCGGGATGAACAGGAAGCGGGCCCTGGTGATGGTGAGACTTGCGGATGAGGGTTGCTCAAAGGAAGAATCATTGTAGGCTGTCTTGAGCCAGCAACTCGCTCCGGGTGTTCATCTGTGTGAATGCGCTGGAACCGGCGCCTGGATGCGATGCTACGTGAATCGTAGTATAACCGCAGAAGGGTGCGCCACAGATGATGTACAAGTCGCAGCGGGAAGGCAATATATCTGAATAACACCTTCATAAGCACTCTGAAGCGGTGTATGAGCCTCCGAACGGAGTCACTATTATGATTGCGCAACATGGTGTTAACTGACTAGTTCAGCACACGAGGCATGACTTAAGGAATTGGTTGTTGTCTATCGGATATATCGCTTCCCACGGTCGCATAACCTTATTCTTAGCTTCAACCACAGTGACCTTTACGGTAACAACCCGAGGCATCTAGTAACTCTATTTCGGCTTAATCACAGATTCAAGTTTTCGATTAGTTTCATAGAATGGTCATTCAATGAGTCGACTGCAGGCCTCATGGAAAGAGTCGTAAGACTGGGTATCATAAGCTGGGTAGGGCTGC